ACTAACATGAGTCTCTACAAATGTCCAGTTTTAGGGTTTTACACAGAATTAAACCAAACAACATGAATCAAACATGCACTTTATTTATTTCCACTAAACAACAAAAGTACATCAAAATGATTGAAGCTAAGGGCATACAAAACTGTCTAACACAAGGTTCGGAAATGAGGGTGCTAATGGAGGAGGTGATGGACATCTCCTCTCTTCAGTAATTAGAAGAACCTGAGACTCAACTTGAGGTGTGGGATCAACTTGTGTTTGCCTTCGCCTTTGCCGTTGGTACCACCTCTGGAGAATAGGATGAGTGGGAAAAATCGGAAGAGTAGCAGGAAGAGGGGGAGGAGCAAGTATGGAAGACCTCAAACGAGAGGATCCCTCTACGGGAATAGGGGGTAATTGTGGAGGACTCGACACAAGACTCAATTGGAGATGACAAGGGGAGAGATGAAGAAAACAACTCAAGAGATCTCTCCCCCTCAGAAGAACAACTATAAAAAGGAAATAACTCTGCAAAGGTGACATCCATGGAGACAAAGTCGGTGCCACTAATGGGATCAAAGCAATAGTACCCTTTCTGTGTGGAGGCATAACCAAGGAAGATACACTTCTGAGCCATGGGATCAAACTTGTGTCTTTTGGAATTGGGAATGTGGGCACAACAAGTGCAACTAAAAACCTGTAGAGGAATAGAGAAAATCTCAACACCAGGAAAGAGGACTCCAAAAGGAGATTTTAATCCCAAGGCTTGAGAAGGCGTGTAGTTAATAAGGTAGGTAGCTATTAAAACTGCATCACCCCAAAACTTCATAGGAACATGGGTAGCAAAAAGAATGCTCCTTGCAACTTCCACAATGTGTCTATTTTTCCTCTCCACTACTCCATTTTGTTGGGGAGTATGGGCACAAGAGCTCTAATGAACAACCCCAAACATCTCAAGATAGGAGGTAAGGTCCTTCTCAAAATATTCCTTAGCATTGTCTGATCGGAATATTTTGATGCGGGTATCGTGAAAGGTAAATCAAAGTATATCGTGAAAAATCATCAATAAACAGGATGAAATATCTATAGCCACCCATGTATGGTAAATGGTAAGGCACCCACACATCAGAGTGAACAATATTAAAAGGAATAATCGACCTTTTATTACTTGAAGGATAAGTGTTCTTACAATGAAGACCTGGTAGACTAATTCCTTTAAATAACTTTGGAAACAATTAACTCAATGAAGAAAAAGACAAATGACCCAAGTGACTATAACATAACATAATACGACTAGTGGACTCTGAAACAAAAGCAGTTCTCTTAGGTTGTACTTGCCTCTGCTCAAGCATGTCTAACAGATAGATCCCATTCGGTTCATGGCCACTTCTAATCACCTTCTGAGATTCTATGTCCTAAAAAACACAATATGAAGGGAAAAAGGTCACACTACAATTTAGAGATTTAGTCAAATTACTAACTGAAAGCAAATTGGTATTAAGTTTAGGTACATGAAGAACATATGATAAGGTCAGGGCATTAGAGGTCTTAATGTCTCCCTTTCCCGTGATAGGGTCAAGAGAGCCATTAGGAAGGGATATCTTATCCCGACCAGAAAGGAGTTGGTAAGAGGTGAATAACTAGGAAATACTGGTCATATGGTCAAAAGCACTAGAATCAATTATCCAAGGGATTTTATGAGTGAGCATATGCAAAGGAAGGAACAGTCTCTGAAGGAGCTGTAGAAATGGACTTCAAATGAATGATAATTCGGCCATAGTTCTCATRTTCAGCCATGGCAGTTGCAAGCTGTTCTCCCATTGACTTCTCTCCACCCTGTCCTTGTTCATTCCGTGAAGAGGTGGCTACATTTGCATTTCCACTTTTTCCAGTTTCAAACTTTTTTCAAACAATTTCTTTCTTGAGTCTAGTAGGAATGAGCTCTGGATGCAGCTTCCAACATGTGTCTTTTGTGTGTTTAGGCTTCTTGCAGTATTTACAGATAACATCTTTCTTCCTAGTGTTAATCTTCAGCTTCATCCCAGCATTGGCATAGTGGTCAACCTGCGTTTCAACAGTCTGGACCTGTCTTCTACTCTCCTCACTACTCACCATAGCATACACCTGAGAAAAAGTCACCTCATCCTTTGCTAAAACATTCTACTTCACAATATCATACTCTGAGTTGAGTCTAGTGAGGAACTCAAAGAACCGATTTCTCTCCACCAACTTCCTATATATTTTTGCATCCTTTGTGCAACCCCAAACAATAGTCTCCATCAAATCAATCTCTTGCCAAAGCGATTTCAGCATAGAATAGTACACAGCTAAGGGCTTTTCCCCTTGTCTTAGATTATTCACATCATGCTTCAATTTGTAGGCCCAAGCAACATTAAGCTTTTGGGAATAAGTCTCTGTGACACTATTCCACACTTCTTTTGCAGTTTCCATCCACAGGTAATGTTAACTAATGTGTGGTTGCATAGAATTCACTAACCAACCCACTACTATGTAGTTTTCTTGCATCCACCTTTCATAGGTAAGGTCATCCTCCTCCGGTTTCTTCTTGCTTCCGGTAATGTAACCCCATTTTCCTCTTCTGCACACATGTATCTTAATAGATAGAGACCAGGCTAAATAATTGGTCCCATCTAACTTCACAGTAGTCATAGCTCCAAAAAGATTCTCCACCGACTCCCATGTCCAAACTCGGAATCTATGGAATATTTGGTCTCTCATTCAGTTTGCTCCATTGAGTAAACGGATGCAAACAAAAATCAAATTAGGGCTTTACTAGGCTAGATTTACTGTTCTAAGCAAAGAACAACCCTTCAAACCCCCAAAATTAGGGTTTCATAAGACCCTACAGGATGGGGAGAAAGTGAGAAACTTCAACCGCCCCTTCCAAAGATTCCAGAACTCAATCCAACTAAAACTGCCCTCAATAGAAATCAAAAGGCTTACCTCTAATCCCCAAGCGCCAGGTTCAAACTATCTCTACAACCTGTAACTTGATTTCTTTAGTTATCTAGGGTTTTCAGGAAAAATCTCCAAGAACCTTCCTTGGGCTTCAACTAAGGATGAAAACCTCCACAAAACTCTCCAAAATCCCTCCTAACTGGGCTGCATAAGTAGCTGGTTGATCAACCGATCAGTTCTCCATACACACTGTGTATGGGCAAAGAAAGGAGAAAAAATCGATAGGGAGAACCAGCTCTGATACCAAGTCGTAATTACACCTGCAATAATTCAGATAATGGAAGAAAAATAATGAAGAGAGAAAGAAGAAGAAGAAAGAAAGAAGTTTCAGCAAGAGGTTGTGGAAGAAGAAGAGGAAGAAAGAGAGAAAAGGAGAATTCAAACACTTCTCTCTAGCCCCCTTACATAACTTTTATTAATCTTCATTCTAAGAATGAGTACAATTACTTGGATGCCCTTAATGGGGCAGCCAGCACTAAAGAAATAATCAAAGATGCAAAATGGGCCCATAACTAACAAAATAACATAAACACTACTTAAAATAAAAATAAAGAGCACTAAGGCCCATTCGGCCCATTCTCACTACAGTTGCCTAGTTAAATTGCTTAAATGTGTGCTACTTATTTGATTAGTGAATGTAACAGCTCAAATTATTTCTACTCTGCGTCACAATCTTTGTTATTTTCCCTATGGTGGGATTTTCTTACATCCACATTTTGTGCATGTTTGACCTGTTACTGTCTGGGATAAAAATTCTTTAACTAATTTATTTGTAGGTGGACTCCATATTTATGAAACTATCAGCTCTGATGATACTGCTACACTTGTTTATACAAGCGGAACCACTGGTGCCCCGAAGGGTGTTATGCTTTCACATCAGAATCTATTGCATCAGGTTTGTCTATGGTCTCTTGCTAACGACACACACACACACACATATATAAAGATCCAAAAATTTATCTTTCCAAAAGAAAAAGAACAAGGTTCAAAATCTTGGTTTCTTTTGTAGATAAGTGATATGTGTGTCTGTTACATGGACTGATGTTAAAAATGGTCCATATTCCAAAGTGACATTTAATTTTGTGTAAGAGAAGAGAGATCTGTTAGGTTTGAAAATATTTGTGCATCGATCCATTACCAAAATCATTAATGTTTTTGCAATCCTAATATATATATTAGTGCTGCGTTTTAACTTGATACATAGATACATATGATAAAATAAAGAAGAAAAGAAAATAGAATTAACACTTAGTGTCTCACAGTCTCATCCTATTGCCTTCTAAAATCAATTCTTTGAATGTCTCTGAAATCTTTCAATTCAAGAATCAATTCTTCAAATATTCTATGATTTCTCTTGTTCCATAAGCCTCAAAAGACAAGTATTGTAAAGATCTAAGCAAGTGAATCTTTCTTTTCAAATTGAATCCACATTCATTGTTGAATTTACAAGAGAGGCATGGAGGGCATTGCTAGTTGGCCCTGAAAATGATGAATAAAATGTCCCACACCTCCTCTGGCTTCTTGTAGTCTATGAATAGACGCAGAAAGCCACATGGTCCACCTACATACATCAAGGAGATGCATGGTATTTTAGTGCAGGGAAAAAATAGTTGTTAAGGCAATGCCTAGGCAGGCACCTCTGCAACAAGACGCCACAGAGGATATTTTGCACATGGTGTATTATATATTTTTACATTTTTAATTTTTTGATATTGTAATAATAAAAGACATTATAAAACTAAATTATTCAGTTTGTGAGTTCAATTACTAGATTGTTTTTATTAGTTTCTTATTTGATAGGGTCCGTGCAACATGTATGCTGTTTTGAACCCTTGAAGACTTCAAAACATGAACCAATAAGAAAGGAAGAACTCGAAATTTTGTCCAATAACACATCCTGATAATTACTTTGTCCAATCATTAGTATGTTCATTTTCTATGTTTTAAATGAAGTTTCTACATTTTTTTATGAAGATTATAGGCAATTACCAGTGAAGGATGGCTACTACTTGCTATGGAACCTATTGAGTTGGGCCGATTTCTAGTTATTGGGCCCAGTTATTTGTCTTTTACTTTTAAGTTTTTAAGTTAGGAAGTTATTGGGCTTTAGGCCCATTAGTTTATGTTTTTTAAGTTGGGACTGTTCAGCTACTTAAGTAGCTGCCCTACTAAGGGCATTCTTGTAATCTCTTATTCTTTTAATTTGAGTATATAATATAAAGAGGGATTGGTGGCCGGAACTAATTCAATTCTGGTTGACATCCCACTCCTCTTTTCTTCTCCTCTCTTCTCTCTACTGCTGAAACTCTTCATCTTCTTTCTCTTCACAAGGAATTCATCTAAAACTGCAATCAGTGATTTCTACTTGATATCAGAGCAGGCCGAAGGTTCCTTGAGTTGTTCTATCATGCAGCCCTAGATCGGCCGATTGCATGGTGATTTGAGAGGCTGATCAAAGATTTCAGGTAAGCCTAGTTTTTGGATTTTTTGGTGGATCTGTTTTGCCTTGTAGCTGGTCTAGGGTTTCCCATCAAATTCAGGAAAAACTGGAGAAAGGGGAAGAGTCCTATTTCTATTGGACTCTTCAATTTTGACCTAGGAAGTGGTACCCTAATTTTTTAGGGTTCCTTGGAGTTTTCTGAAGGGGGCGGTTCAAGTCTTGCCTGTTTTGGAGGTCTTTGGAGAGAGCAGCTGCCTCTTCTCTCTTTTCTCCCGTCCCGCAGAAAAGGAATCTTTTGTGGGAAGATCATCTAGGGCACCAGAAGGGTGTCGGTGGTACCAAAAGTGATTTATTTGATATTCTTTCATCTTACAGTAACCTTCTAACCCCCTTTTGAGAATTATGGAGGGTAATGAAGTTGAAAACAAACCCGGGAGTGAAATGGGACCAGTGGGAGGAGGTATCGGAGACCTTTTCAGGGCTGGGACCATTACTACAATTAAGTTGGATGGTTCAAATTACTTAGAATTGTCACAATCTGTAAAGATGGCCATTGGTGCTCGCGGGAAGTTAGGGTATATCACTGGTGAGAAAGTGAAACCCGAACTAACAGCTCCCGGTRGGTATAGGAAAATTATATGGTGATGACTTGACTGTGTAATTCGATGCTGCCCCATATAAGTAAGAATTTTTTGTGGGCAAATACAACTAAGGAAATATGGGATGGGGTTGCAGAAACCTACTCACAGAGTGAGAATGTTGCTAGGACCTATCAGTTGAGGAATCAAATTATTGCTACAAGGCAAGGAGATAGACCTATTGTTGTTTACTTTTCAGCCCTTAATACCCTGTGGCAAGAGATTGACCATTTGGAGACAGTTGTTTGGGAAACCACTAAGGATGTAGCTGCCTACCAGAAGCTCATTGAGAAGTATAGGGTTTTTGAATTTCTTGCTGGCCTAAAACCCATGTATGATATTGCAAAACAACATATTCTTTCCAGGGACAGTGTTACTCTCTCTTAGGCATATGCCTTTGTATCAGGGGAAGAGAGCAGGAGAAATGTGATGATGAAAATTTCTGTTTTTGATCAATTAACCATGGTTAGCACTGTGAAACCTAAACAAGGTGGAGACCGGGGTGGTAGTGAAATCAAGAAGGAAGACAAAAAGGATTTGATTTGTGACAACTGTAAGAAGCCTAAACACACGAGAGATACCTGCCGGAGGCTTCATCCTTATCTAGTGCCAAGCAGACTTAAAAACAAGAAGGGAAATGCTCACATGGCAGTCACTAGTGACATACTGGCTCCTCCTACTACAACTACTTTGGAGTCTGTTGCAACTTCTGTAGTGAGGGCCGAACTTGAGAGATATGGGCAGTTCTCGAATCAGTAGGATACAGTCAGTCCTAATTCAGTAACAGGTGGATAGCCAGTTACAGGTGGTTCTGGTGGAGCACACTCTACTTCCTTTGCTCACATAGGTAGTTCACATGCCATTGCAAATTATGTTTCTACTACAGGCAATGAGGGATCTCCTTGGATTATATATTCTGGAGCCTCAGAGCACATGACCCATAGTTCCACTATCTTTTCCTCTTACCAGCTTTGTTCTGCTAGAGACAGAGTCTCCATAGCTGATGGATCTCATGTTCCCAGTGCTAGGGAGGGGTTTGTCAAGATTAATGATTCCATTTCCCTTCCCTCTATCCTTCATGTTCCCAGATTGAGTACTAACCTGTTATCTGTTAGTAGTTTGACTAAGAACCTGAACTGTTTTGTAATTTTTTCTCCTGGTCATTGTATTTTGTAGGATTTAGATTCAAAGAGGACGATTGGAAGTGGTCATGAAGTGAATGGAATCTACCTTCTGGATGTGCTTCCTCATCATCAGGGTCATCATGTCAGCAGGGATAGTGGGTCGGGATCTACAAGTTAGATCATGCTTTGGCATAATCATTTGGGTCATTTGTCTTTTTCTTCTTTGAATTTCTTTTTTCCAAAGCTTTTTGAGTTTGTTAATTTGTCTAGTCTAGAGTGTGAAGGTTGTCAGCTTGGAAAACATTATAGACATTCCTTTAAAGYTAGTAATAAAAGATGTTCATCTACTTTTGGTGTTATTGATTCTAATGTGTGGGGACCATATCATGTTCCTTCTATGGGTGGCTATCGATATTTTCTCTTATTTGTGGATGATTTTTCTCGATATTCTTGGATTTACTTAATAAGATCTTGAGATGAGGTACCATCCTTGGTTCGACAATTTCATTAGATGGTGCTAACACAGTTTGGGATACGAATTAAGGTGTTCAGATAAAAAATGCCAAGGAATATTTTGAAAAGCACCTTGCTTTGTATCTGTTAGAATATGGTGTTGTCCATCAGAGTAGTTGTTCCTACAATCCCTAGTAGAATGGTGTTGCAGAGAGGAAGAACAAACACATTGTTGAGATTGCAAGAAGCATGATGATCACAGCTACTGCTCCAATGCGGTTTTCGGGTGATGCAGTTCTCATAACTATCTTTTTGATTAATAGGGTGCCCTCCCGTATACTTGGATTCAGAACACCATTCAGTCTCCTTTTTCCTGAGGGGAGATGTTCCGTATTCCTCTCAGGGTGTTTGGGTGTGTTTGCTTTGCACATATTCTTGGTCCTCACTACTTAAAGCTTGATCCGAAGTCAAAGAAGTGTGTCTTCCTTGGATATGCAGAAAATCAGAAAGGGTACTGTTGCTATGATCCAGTTTCTGGGAGTCGGTATGTTACTATGGATGTCACCTTTTTTGAGTCCACATCCTTCTTCTCGAAGAATCCTTCTCAGGGGGAGTGTTTTGGGGAAGTGAGTGAACAATCTATTCCTCTTCCAGTTCCAGTTCCTGTTTCCACTCCTGTGTCTGATCCTCCTATGTCACCTACCTTACCACCTCCTTTGCGTCCTGCTTCTCAGTGTTACTCACGACAGAGACTTCACAGGGAGGTTGATTCCATTGCAGAAGAACAACTCACATCACTTCCTGTCGGTTCCTTGGAGACTCCAGATTCTGCTAACACGGCTTCAAGTATTCCTCTTGATCCCTCTACTGTTTCGGTTCCCATTGATTCTACTAATCCCATTACAGATAACTTGGATCTTTCTATTGCTCTCATAAATGGAAGAGAAAGCGTACTGCTCATTGTATTTCATAGTATCTATCCTACAGTGGACTTTTTCCTTCCTACYGTGCTTTCCTTTCCTCTCTTGACTCTGTGACTATACCCAAAGGTGTCAATGAGGCTCTCTCCAAACCTGAGTGGAAGAGAGCTATGCAGGAAGAGATGGAAGCCTTAATTAAGAACCAGACATGGGAGATTGTGGATCTACCGAAGGGCAAGGAGACTGTTGGATGCAGATGAGTTTACACAGCCAAATATAAGGAAGATGGAAGTATAGAAAGGTATAAGGTCAGACTTGTTGCTAAAGGGTAGATATAGACCTATGGCATTGATTACTTAGAGACCTTTGCACCAGTTGCAAAGATAACTTCTTTTCGGATACTTCCTTCTTTTGCTGCCACATACTCTTGGCCCTTGTTTCAACTTGATGTGAAAAATGCTTTTCTAAATGGAGATCTGCAAGAGGAAGTGTRTATGGATCTTCTTGGTGGTTTGTACAGTGATGCTGAAAAGGGGAAGGTATGCAGACTTAAGAAGTCACTTTATGGTTTAAAGCAGTCTCCCAGAGCATGGTTTGATAGGTTCAAGAAGGCCTTGGTTGCATTGGGCTACACTCATACTCAATCTGACTATACCTAGTTTGTGAAGCGGAGGGGATCCTTGGTGTCAGTGCTAATTGTTTATGTGGATGATATTGTTGTTACAAGAAATGACCTAAGTGAGATTGATAGTTTGAAGAAGAATCTACACAAGGAATTTGAAATTAAGGATCTCAGAGAGCTTAGGTACTTCTTGGGCATTGAAGTTGCAAGATCAAAACATGCAATCTTTATTTCTCAGAGGAAGTATGTTATGGATCTTCTACAAGAAACAGGGAAGCTTGGAACAAAGGCAGTTAGTATTCCTATTGATCAGAATCACAGAATCAATGCATCAGAAGGTGAGCTGGTAAAGGACATTGGGAGATATCAAAGACTTGTGGAGCGGCTGCTGTATTTGTGTCTGACAAGACCAGACATCTCCTATGCAGTGAGTGTGGTGAGTCAATACATGCATGCCCCACGAGTCCAACATTGGGAGGTTGTTGACAGGATTCTTGCTTATCTGAAGGGACACCCAGGCAGAGGCATACTATTTGTTGATCATGGACAGTTGAAGCTAGATGCTTATACATATGCTGATTAGGCAGGATGCCTTGATGACAGGAAATCTACTTCAGGAGTCTACACCCTTGTTTGGGGTAACCTAGTCTTTTGGAGAAGTAAGAAACTGACAGTGGTTGCAAGATCAAGTGTAGAATCTGAATACAGGGCCATGGCACATGGAGTTCCAGAACTTCTCTGGATCCGTTCCTTGTTAGGAGAGATTGGTGTAAAGGCAAAAGAACCTATGATGCTGTACTGTGATAATCAGGCAGCAATTAACATTGCCCATAACCCAGTTCAGCATGACCGGACAAAGCACATTGAAGTGGATAGACATTTCATCAAAGAAAGGGTGACTTCTGGGGAAGTTTGTCTCCCATACATTGCTTCTGATTTGCAGCTTGCTGATGTTCTCACAAAAGTTGTTGCAAGGAACAAGCTGGAGTATGACCTACGCAAGTTGGGAATGTGCAACATTTACTCCCAACTTGAAGGGGAGTGTTGAGTTGGGCTAATTTCTAGTTATTGGGCCCAGTTATTTGTCTTTTATTTTGAAGTTATTAAGTTAGGAAGTTATTGGGCTTTAGGCCCATTAGTTTATGCTTTTTAAGTTGTGACTGTTCAGCTACTTAAGTAGCTGCCCTACTAAGGGCATTCTTGTAATCTCTTATTCTTTTAATTTGAGTATATAATACAAAGAGGGGTTGGCGGCCAGAACTAATTCAATTCTGGTTGACATCCCACTCCCTTTTTCTTCTCCTCTCTTCTCTCTACTGCTGAAACTCTTCATCTTCTTCTTTCTCTTCAGAAGGAATTCATCTAAAACTGCAATCAGTGGTTTCTACTGAACCTACAGAATTTCCCTAGGATTCATGGTTTTTATTCAAAAAAATCCATCACCTAGGTGAGAAGTCACCCATCTTTCACCATGCCTTGCCTTGTCACCTTTAAAACTTTGCCCAAAACCTCACCCTCTTTTCTCAAATTCAATTTTACAAGTGGAGACAAAGTTATCAAAGTCCTACATTAATACCCTTCCACATCCCATCCCATATGGTGTTATCTCAACAAAAATGCTACCCATAATTCATTTTATTTACCTATCTGATATGTGATTAGTTATTTCAAGTGAATAATTTTCAGAGTTCTCACATTTTGTTATATATGTAAATAGAGAGTTTCACTCCCTTTGTTTAGTTGATGTTAAATCTTTCAAATGCCAAGAATGCCCCTATTCTTTTGCTTTTAGTCCCATAATTAATTAATATTATTTAAAAGAGAGTTTCAGTCTCTATTTTATTGACTCTTAGACTTTAGATTTCCACTTTTAACCCTGTTAATTTCATAGTTGTCTAGTCAGCACCTAGACAACAAAGTGCTCATGGAGGGTTGCCTCTCTTAATCACCAAGATAATTTATACATGGCGCTATGAAGTACTTTTCTATTCTAATTTTTTTCAAAATATAACAATAAAATAGACATTATTAAACTAAAATATTCATTTGGTGCATTCTGTCTTCTTGTTCTTCTTCTATCTTTTCTTTTCTTATTTTCCTACAGAAAAAACAGGGGTCAGAACCTATTTTTTTTATGATTATTTTCTTTCTTCCTTTTCTTTTCAAGAATATATTGATTTTCTATACTTGAATATGAAATTTATAATTTTTATGAAAATTATAGATAATTATTAATGGATGGTGGTTTCTACTTGCTATGGAACCTAGGGAACTACCTTAGGATTCATGTTTTTTATTTAAAAATAAAAATCCATTGCCTAGGCAATGCCTAAGTGCCTGCCTAGGCGACTAGGTGACAAGGTGCTCCCTGTTACCTAGCCTCATCTTGGCACCTTGAAAACTATGGTTATTTTTCATCTCTCYCTCTCTCTCTCTTGTGCTAATGGATTGCACCTGCAACAAATGTGCCAAGTAGCTAAATGTTTTCATGTCTATACGATGCATCTATATGATTATATGCATGTAGTTATGCTTTCAGTATTTGAAATTTTATCTGCTTATTTTCAACACAACTCACTAATTCCAAGGTGAACTCTCTTGTTACATGTTTGTTAGATTAAGAACCTCTGGAACATTGTACCTGCAGAAGCTGGAGACAAGTTTCTAAGCATGCTCCCACCATGGCATACATATGAACGAGCTGCTGAGTATTTTACATTTACATGTGGGGTTCAGCAAGTATACACAAATGTGAAAAACTTGAAGGTGCTCTCTTTAGATTTCTGTTTGCTTAATAATTGACAATGGTATTTTTTTTCTTACCATTGTGGTTACTTTTTGATAGGAAGATCTGAGACGCTATCAACCACACTACCTAATTTCTGTTCCTCTAATATATGAGACACTCTATAGGTACCTTCTAAGCCATGAAGCTGAAACAATTTTAATGGACCTTTACATTTCAATTTTTCACTCTCTTGCTCCACCCCTCCCCACTTCTATTGCTTTATATTGCTGCTTCACATATGTTTACTAAGTTCAAGAGATATAGAGAAGACAATCTTTTTCATAACTTGGAAGAAAAATAATTCCTTATTAGATAAACACAGATGCATTTATTAAGATGAAAAGGAGATGGATATGAACGTCCTGCAACCCTAAGAGAGGTATGTAAGACAATTAGCCTCTGCTAGTCCACAAAAGATACAGCTGGAAAGTGCAAAATACATGCAAGGCTACCCTTGGTACAAAGTGCCCCATAAAACTCACTCCCAATTCCATCCTGGCAAAGATAGGCCCCAGACCAAAGCCAACTTCTATACTATAAACAAATTGCAAATAGTAATTGAATTAGAGTAAATGCTGATTATTTCTCCCCCTAGCCACCGAAGACACTACTAATGCCTAAAGGCCAAGGTTCCCAATGAGTTAATAAAATTGGAGTAAGCATTGATGATTTCTACCCCTTGGCCACTGAATCCACTAGATATTTTAAGTAATTTTGTGTCAATATCCAATGAGCCTCTTTAATCMTGAAATGTTCAATGTTGCTCTCTAATGGATGGATTCTGTTGAAGCATATCCTAGATCATGAGAGATGCTTTATGAAACAAATGTAAAGTTGGCTGTCTAGAAAACTTGGGATGCTCTTTTTGGGAGGATATTACTCTGAAGGTGAGATGCAAAGGCAAGAAGTGAATAGCATCATGAATTTCTAAAGAGAAACATTTGTCCCAATTTCTTAGATTACCATAGTTCATGCTCTCTTAGCTTTATCTGGAGTTTAGTCTTGGTCTATTTTTCAATTGGATGTGAAGAATGCTTGTCTTCATGGTTAGTTAAAAGAGATAGTCTATATGAAACTTCCTCTTGGATGCTACAACGATACTTCTCTAGTTTGCCAGTTGAAAAAGTCCTTATGTGGGATGAAGCAGGCCTCCTGAACATGGTTTGAATGATTCTGAGATGTCACTGTTGCTACTGGATACAGTTAGAGTTCTTATGATCACTTTCTCTTTGGTTGCAGGAGGCTAGGAGGCCTCAAGGTATCACTATCCTTTTGTTTTACGTTGATAATATGCTTTTGACTGGGGATGATGAAGAAGGAATTCATGAGATGAAGTCTCTACTTTACAATTCCTTTGACATGAAGAACTTAGGTTTTCTTACTTATTTCTTGGGCCATGAAGTTCAACGCAGTGTCACAGTGATAGGGTATTTTATCTGTCAATAAAAGTCAGCCTCTGATCTTGTTAAATTGTTTGGTATTATTGATGATAAAGAATGTTGATACTCCTCTGTAGCTAAATGTTAAGTTAGACGTCTGAAGGTTCATTGCTTGATATCTCTCATGCTATAAAGGTTAGTCAGTTAGGCTTTGCTCCTCATCAGTCTCACATGATTGTTATCATCAAATTATTTGCTTTGTTCATGGCACTATGTCTCAAGGTCTATTCTTCTCCTCTTCACCCATTCAATTAAGGGCATATGCTAATGCAGATTGGGCAGGTTGCTCTGACACCCATCGTTCTACTACAAGGTGGTGCATCTTTATGGGTGATTCCTTAATACCAGTGCTATCAAGGTTGCATCTAATCCTATTTTCCATGAGAAAACTAAGCATATTGAGGTGGATTGTCACTTAATCAGAGACTTGTTTCTTTTTAGCTCTATTATCTCTTCCTCATGTGGCCTTGAGATGCAGAATGTGGATATCTTCATTAAGACTATGACTAGATCCCAACATCTCTTCCTTGTGGGCAAACTAATATTTATGTCTTTGCATTCGTTAATTTAGTTTTGAGGGGGAGTGTGGAGATTTTGTAACTTGATGTACTTTATTATTATAGTCCTTGTACTTTGTACATTACTCTTTATTCTTTTTTCATTCTTTCTTCCCTATAAGGGCATTCTTGTAATTGTACATATTAATATAAAGGAAAGTTAAGCATTTTCATTGTTATGGATAGGAATGTTGACATGGTCATTATCAACACACAAAGTACCTCTATTGGTATGCTTTAAAGGCTAATCTTCTCTTTCCTGCAGCAATATGAGTACTCCTAAGCACATGCTTATACTGATTGACAAAATTGACTACATAAGAGATGCATGGCCTCATAACGAAATTACAAGGATGTTATTTCTAGAAGTCTAATATGCCTTTTACTTTATATTCATAATAGTTAGAGCAGAACCAACTTAATTTTAATCTAATAGTTTTTTTAAGAAAAAGTTATTTTAATCTAATAATGATTGGTCAAGAATATCATATCTCTATATATGTGCTAAAACCCATAGACATGTAAAGGATTATTTGTCTATAATATTATTGGTTGCAACATGATGATACTAGTAGATGTGACACAACAATGATTTATGTATTGCATCTTAGAAGAGTGTTGATGATTGGGGTGGCTGACATCACTGAATCTCTTTTGGAAGAATGCACAACAACTTTGGGTTGTTTGGTGGGGGAGATCCMTTTTACTTTTTTGGGTCTCCCTATTGGGGCAAAAGCTTTACTTTCTTCAAATTGGCAACTGGTTCTTGACATGATAGATTAAAGATTGGCAGGTTCGAAGGGAAGGTATCTCTCACTTGGAGGTATAACTCTTATAAAGACTGTGCTGTCCAATCTCCCAGTATATTACCTTTCACTATTAAAAGCTATAGCTTCTATTATAAATTCAATTGAAAAAATGCAACAGGAGTTCTTATGGGGAGTTAAAGGGATCAAGTAGAAATCCCACTTAGTTAAGTGGGATAAGGTTTGCATGGAAAAGGGCGGGGGTCTGGGAATAAGAAGATTGAAGATTTTCAATAAAGCTCATCTAGGAAAATGGTTGTGGAGATTTGCTTTAGAAGGGGGGGGGGGCTCTTTGGATGAGGGTGGTGGCTTGTAAATATGGGGTGATTGGATTTGGGTGGGAGTCTAAAGAAGTGAAAGCATCCTATGGAGTAAGTGTGTGGAAAGGGATTATGTGCTTCCAATCGGCTTTTCTCAACTTTGTGTCCTTTATGGTTGGAGTTGGTTCAACAATCAAAATCTGGGAAGATGATTGATTGGGTATTGGAAAACTGTTTAATCTTTGTCCTCGATTGTATAGGTTTGGTATGAAAAATAGCTTCATTGTAGAGAATTTTGAGAACAATCAAGGTAGAACTGTATGATGCCCAAAATTCAGGAGAGCTATCTTTGACTGGGAAATTCAAGAGTGTGGATCTACTTGCAAAACGTCAGTCAGTTGAAACTCAGGTGGAAAGGAAGGATTCAATATGGTGGAAAGAATATAGAAATGGATTGTTCTCAATCAAATCTTTTGACAAGGCTCTATAAAGGTCAAATGGCGAAAGCTCAAAATTAAAAGGAATTTGGGGAAACCCTGTCCTCCCAAGGGTGGAAGCTTTTGCATTTTGACACTGAATCATCTTCAAAACAGAGGTTTTCACTTATTTAGCAGATGCTATCCTTGTGAGAATGCAGAGGAGAATGGCTATCATTTGTTTGTTAAATGCCATTACTCTAATTTCATACGGGGTTTCTTCATTGGGCTCTCGAGACTTGCTGGTGGTCTGCTAGTACGGTAGAGGAGATTATCTCCAAGTGGCCAASGGTAAGGGGAAATGTCATTGTTTGGAGCTGCATACCTTTTGTTGTTTGTTGGGAACTCTGGAAAGAATGAAATAGGAGAATATTTGAAGAGAAGGCTCGAGCTAGGGATCATATCACCCTACTATACAGTAAATGGATAATGGATTGGGCTTTCATTCTCCTAGAGTTTGAAGGAGTCACAAAAGAAGACATTGGTTCTGGTTTATGGAACATTCTGGAGTTGGCTTAAAGTTTCTGATGTTATTGGTTTTTGTATTTCTCATTTCTCTATTGAGTGTTCCCTTTTTGTTTGCTTTGATCTCATTTGTAGCTTTGTTTTCTCGTGATATCTCATTGCCATCAGATGTCTCTATTTTATCAATAAATTTTCTTTTTATTTACTACCAAACAAAAGATTTCATGTTATCACAAAATTTATGGAATCTATGAAGCTCTTGTTCAAATTATAACATAATATAATCTTGTAGTTTGGGAATAGGTATCTTGTACAAGTCGAAGTCCTTCAATGCATATTAAAAATTGCATTGAAGGATGTTTTAAGTAAATTTATGGAATCTATGTTTTATGTAAATTGCTTTTCTATTCTGCTGCAGTGGAATCCAGAAACAGATTTCAACAAGTTCTATTGCTCGGAAGGTTATTGCAGTTGCACTAATCAGAATAAGTTTGCTTTACATGGAATCAAAGAGGATTTATGAGGTTTGCATATGAAACTTAAAATTTTAATGTCCTCAGGGAATATTTTCATTTTTAATAAAAATTTTATCCTAACATCATAATAGAAAATTCTTAAGCAGCACAGTTACTTATTTGTCACTGTTTATTGCCTAATATCTAAAAAATCAGAAAGGCTTTCTAGAAACATGGAATTAGTTAATAAACCTTTAAAGAATCGTTAGAAAAAATACAATTGCACATTTAAGACTCAAAAAACCATAGCAAATAACTATATAAATCAAATAGGAGAAAATTAACAGACTTCAATAGGTACCTTATTGCCTTTTAACCATCTTCTCTTCATTAAATATGTCAATTGCTTGCCATTTTGACTTTTGCCTTTTCTGTCACTATATATTTTTATTATTTGAGAATACTCTTTTGTAGTTATATTTATTTTTCTACTTCTTTTGAACTATGGTGACTTAGTGAATAATATGAAAATTGAAAGCCAATTATCCAGTCACAAATTCTCCATTGGTTCTTTCAGAAAAATACTTTTAGAAAATAATGATGATTGTAATGAAATATCATAAAGTTTTTAATAATATTAAAGTTTTAAACCTATTAATAGTCTCTATCAATGAAATGTGAAATATTGCTGACATATTGGAAAAATATTGATGATATTTGGAAATTTTTGAGTGAACTAATTCCAGTCTTGTTTGTAGGGAAAGGTCCTAACAAGAAATCAGAAGCCACATCCACTTATTTTTTTAATGGTGGACTGGTTCTGGGCAAGAATTACTGCCACAATTTTGTGGCCATTGCATATATTGGGGATGAAACTTGTCTATTCCAAAATTCACTCTGCAATTGGAATATCAAAGGTGTAATGAGCTACCAGAAAATATTTTTAAGTATTTTATTTTGTTGTATTTGAACACTGTTGATTGTTAGTGAGCGAAATCAAGAGATAGGTTTTGTTTGGAAAATTGCAGGCTGGTATAAGTGGTGGCGCTAGTTTGCCTTTGCATGTTGACAGGTTTTTTGAGGTTAGAAGTTTAGACATTCTTCATATATTTTATGAAAGTTTTTATATGTATACTGCACAAATAATTATTTTATACTTGTAGGCAATTGGCGTAAAATTGCAGAATGGATATGGCTTAACTGAATCTTCTCCTGTTGTTGCTGCTCGCCAACCCACTTACAATGTAAGTAATATATCTTGTTCAAAGAGCAGAGCAACTATCAGTCCAAGTACTCCTTACTTGGTACAGTGATATTGCTATTATTATTTTTGTTCTGGTATTAGACCTGTTATACGAAAGTAAAACAGAAAGGGAAGGATGGGAGAAAAGTAGAATAGAAAACAGCCAGTCCAGTTGGAAAGAGATTAACTGATCTTTCCCAGTCAGTTGCTTTATATAAACTGCCTAAATTTAATGGTAATACTGTTCTTCCCATTCAGTTGCTTTATGTAAACCATCTATCTCTTCCCTCAAGCTGCTGAGTGTATATCATATAATCTCAGCTTGTTACATATCTAGAGAGCACACAATTTCAGGGATGTCAATAGAATGAATCRACCTCCACCCCCAAAGAGTCCTATATATATTAAGGATATGTACAATTACAAGAAGGCCCTTACAAGGCTGAGAGAAAGAAAAATAAAAGAATATGTAGTATACAATAGGGACTATAACAGTACAATACATTGAAACTCTCCACAATCCCCCTTAAATCGATGCAAAGTCATAAGCATCAATTTGCTCACAAGAAAGAGATGTTTGCATTTCACCAGAGCTGAAGGGGCAAGAGTGAATGACAGTAATTCGATTTTGGCTAAATGAAGGTTGGGGAATGTAAAAGAGAGCATTCAGGAGAACACCTGGAGTTTGGAATAGGAAAGGGGCAATAGTCGAACAAAATATATCATAAAGTGCTGACAGATGGAGTTATTTCTTCTAAGAATGTGCATAAGCCTGTTATCTCGGTGGAGAATGTTGTGTAGCCTAGCATTGTGGGCTTGGGCCTGTTTATGTTATGTCATGACATTTACTTGTGCAACTTCCTTCCTGGGCTAAATGAGCCTGGGCTTTGTTTTTTATGTTTTCTTACTGCCTACTAATCAGGGGCAGAATTGTCATTGTCTCTTTCTTATTGCCCTACTATAAAAGCTGTCTTGGAGGGCTGGAGAAAGTGTCACCCATTTCTTCTAAACCTCTCTTCTTCTATTTTTCTCTTCGTCTTCTATAGAACTGAATACAAACATGGTATCAAAGCATTGATACTATCTTCTTCACTGATTCAAAATCTTATATACTGTTCTTCTATTCTTTTTTTTATCGTTTTCTTTACTTAGGGTGTTAAAGAAACCCTCGTTCTGCTCATGGTGCTCTAAACCCAGTTGCTTCCTTGGGTTTTCCCCGAGAAGATCCAAGGGAACCTAGAATTTCGGTTAAAAGATTTAGGCACCAAAAATTCAACATATCTGTTCTAGTTTCAAGGGTGTAAGGGGGGCCTATTTGGGGTTGGAATTAACTATCGAGATACTATGGGCTGACTTGGTTGGGGGTATTGTATTATCATGTAGCTTATGTACAATATCTTTTATTTCTTCTTTGTATATCTCTTTCTTTTATGTTAGTGGAGGGCAGTTTTGTCCTTTCCCTTGTACCCACATAATATATATAATACATTCTTGTGGGCGTGTACACATTAGACACACCCTTTCATATTCTCTGTGCGGTTCAAACTGTCTCTGTCATGGTATCATAGCAGGTTCGATTCTAGATCTGCTAAATCTCTTTCTCTTGGCTGCTGTCTACTTCAAATGAAGAGCGTCAGAAGTCATATATTCTCTGCAATTTCTGAGATTGATTTGGTGGTTTTCTAAGGACTGTTTCAATCAGTCATCTTTTGGGTTCTTTTCCAGTGAAGAACGAGTACCAGGTTGGTGTTTGCTTGAATTCTCTCTCCTGCTTTATTGGATAGCCTTGAAACCCTAGATCTGGTGTTGCCCAGACCTACTCTTGCTTCCCATATCATTGCTTTGTGATTTGGTTCCTTACTGGTAAGGTTTTTAACTTCTTGAAGTCGACCCTGCACTTTCCTTTTCTGGACTGTACCTTTCAGCAACTTCTGGTGGCCTTTACTCCATAAAATCTGTTCTCCCTTAATTATATCAGATCTGTAGTGATTGATCTGAGACTCGCTATTATCAGTTTTACTTGCTGGGACTTTAGTTCTTGTTATGCTATTTACTGAAATGGCTTCAGACAAGAGATTTATTGTCAATCAAATCCAATGGGAGTAACTATGCCCTATGGAAGTTTCACTTCCAATTTTATCTTGAAGTCCAACGACTCTAGGGCTATGTGGATGGTTCGGTTGCCATGCCTGATGAATCTGATAATAAAGTGCTGAAGCAGTGGAAGATAGATAATGCAAGAATAGCTTCATGGGTTCTTGGTTCGATAGAATCTAACATAGCTATTCTGATGAGGTGCCTCAAGACTGCAAAGGAGATGTTTGAATACATGGAGAAGGTCTACCAGCAGTCTAACTTATCTAAACAATATCAAATTGAAACAGAAATCTTTTTCCTGCACCCATGGGGAAAAGAACATTCAAGAGTACTTTACTGGTTACATTAATCTATGGACTGAATATGAATTGGTACACATGGGGGACTCTGTTAGCTTGCTGTTTCAAGACAATGAAGGAACACTTTGACAGAAGAAAGGTTATGCATTTTCTAATGCATTTACGGCCTGAATATGATGTGATTAGATCAAATGTTCTGAACAGGGATACTACCCCAAATCCGGTTGCCATATTGGGAGAACTCCTTAGGGAAGAAACAAGATTGGTTACTCATGTTAGTCAATGTATGCCCTTAGCTCCAATCAGAATGATGTACATTATGACATTTAATGTAAATGAATAAAGTACATATTTGATTCATGTTATTATGGTGTGTTTCTGTGTAATACCCTTAAACTGGACACATATGAGACTCGTGTTAGTTTAGAATCTTCACAGCTGTTGGATAGATCTGGGGAGATTTATCCTGCCAAGGCTGACTCTGATGTGCCGCCAAGTTGGTTGGGGTGGCTTGTCTCAGCTGCTAAGGTGAGACTTGAGGAACATGCAGTGTGGGTTTTCTTGAAACCTTGAACCGGACCAAAATTCCAGTATTGCCCTTGACCTTGGAGATAGATGGGTAAAACTAGAATGTTACACCTGACCCCTAGACTCGATTATGGTACTGCACTGGGTGTC